TCGAACGTTAGCTGCAGCAACTTGCTGGCGTAACGACGGGCAGTAGAGCAAGTCTCAGGTAGGAAAACCGGACCTCCAAAGATACGAGGCGGTAGGACAACTGGGTGATAGTGAGGTCTTGGCGACCCAGCTGGCGATGCTAAATGTCGAGGTTATCGGTCGGTAGACAAACGCCAAGGCAAGACATCGGTAGGACGGGTAATCGCCAATTGACAGCACGGCCCATTGCTTGATGTTCATCCGCTCTGGTCTGCCGGCAGGGTCGGGTCCGGGTGCCGGAGTGCGCTCTCCGTTTCAGTCTCCAGAGATCCCAGATTTCCTCCTCATGACTGTCACATTCATCCGGCCAAGATGAAGCCAAGACCATGACCAAGGCTGTGCCGCTTTTGAGTTGCAAGCTCCGTCGACATCTTGCGGGTCGCATGAGTTTCTCGAGTGTTTTCGGAGGGTTGCGCCATGATCGCATGTCTCCTGTACAACACATGTCAGTACCAATTGTGACCACATTCTCTCAGCTCGCTCCTATTGCAGATGTGTGCCCGAGCATTTGCACCGAAGGGAGGATGAAATGAGAGATGCTTGGCCTCCCCGCCCACCCACCAGAACCAATTGGCGCCGAGACTTGATGTAATCCAAGAGTCCAAGCCGCTCAAGCCTCAGGCTGACGGACCAAGAAGACCAAGACGCCGAGAGATTTCCAAGAGCAAATGCACTGCGCGTTCCTTGCCTGCCCACCTCACAGGCTGGGATTGGCTCTTCTTGGAAAGAGTCTTCGAAAGCCTAGAGCTCGTGAGAGAAGGCCAAGAGCGCATGGGTTCCATGAAAATGGAGCAGAGCCCACAGCGCAATAAGCCCTACTGGCATCTTGGCTTGCTCCCGCCGAGCCAGGAATGCGGTGATCCCCCTCTTGGTCTGCCAGCACCGCCTGCAGAGTCCTTCCTAATCTCGGCCTGGCGTCCGAACATGTGCCACCCCATTCGAACCTCCGCATTTGGGCTTTCGGTGGCCCATCCCGTGCTTGAACTGCCGGGGTCCGTCGCGATCGTCTGGGGCAGCAAACGATGGCCTGATGAGCGCCCGGAATAACTGCGACCAAACGCGGCGAGTTCCAGTCTATGTGAGGTGGTTGTCGATGCTGTGCCGGACAGGAACGGCCAGCCACCAGGTGATTGTATCGACGCGGATACTGTTGCCACGGAGCACGAGGGCGGGTGCGTGCTTGTCCCTTCCCTTCGCCTAGACCTCAACTTTAAAGCTTGGTACGATGGCGCAGCATGGCATGCCAGGCTGTGGCGAGCAATCCCGCGGCGTGCAGAGCAGCCAATGAAATGCTCATCCTGTACAAGGAGTGTACTTGAACGTTAAATTCTCGGGGTCTTGTCAGTGACTAGAGACTGCCGTGGTGGTGAGCGCAAGGAGGCATCCAACGTGGGACAAACACCGACCAATGCGGATAGAAGAAGTCAAAGTGATGATTGACGGGGATCGGGGCTTCGAGGTTGAGACGGCCCAAACAAACTCACAAATCGCGCAAATGAAATGCAAGTGGCGGCCAGACATGGAGCGGACATGGAGAGAGCTCGCAGTGCCAAGACTGATTATAGGCCTCGTTTTGATTGCACGTATGCTGACTGGCGAGGCGGCGGTGGTGCTGGTGGTTCGGTGGTGGTTCCCCCCCTGAAGGCCGAACTAAACGGGCGAAGGTTGAACACAAGTCGAAACTGACCATCCTCGTAGGTCTTGGCACACTTGCACAGCCTCAATCGCAAGTCGAGTCGGCGGCCGCAACAAGGTAAGAGACTCAAGGACCGCGAGACTGGCCAGATTGTCCGTCCTTAGTCCAGAGTCAAACTGGGGATGCAAAGCATCGCGTAAGGTGCCCTGTCACTGTGCCGCAGAGTACAAGCTGGAGGTGCTTGGTATCTGCAGCCAAGACCGCCCAGGTTGCCGAGCCTGCCCAGTCTTTGCCCAGCTTTCCTCTGGCTGGGCGATGAAGCGGCAAATTGTGAGGTCTGGCTGGTGGTTTGTAGCGAAGCAAAGCAAAGCTGCAGCGTCTGCAGTCTGCAGCGACGCATGGTGCTGGTAGCAGTACGTGTCCCGTCTCTGCGCGGGGAAATGGCGATGGACAGATGATGCGATGGCATGGTTTGTGAGACGGGTTGGCGATGCTTGGGTGGTTCGTGTCTCTCTTGCTGAAGCTTGGCGCGGTTCACTGGAAGGCAGGAGATATCCAGTGCCAATAGCAGGTACCAGTAACAGTGGAGGAAGGGAGATCAACACGACGCCCGACGGAACGCCAGGCGAAAGCGACAGCGACGGAGACATTCAAGTGACGATTCTGACACCGGTTGGCGTACCGTCAGCGTGGGTCGAACTGCCAAGGTCGACCGACCCGCCCATCTGAGTAAAGACGGGCGTTGGCGTTGATGGCGACGGCACGGGCACGTTGGATCCATGTTTTAAGGAACAGACGGGATAACAATCGCTCGGGATCGTGGAGGCTGTGCCGGTGCGTTTAATTGCTGGGTGTGTGTGTGTGCGATGCGCAGAATCGATATCGATGGGTTGGATGCTCGATGCTCGATAGGCAATCCGACAACGAGAGCCAAATTGCCAAAAGGTAAAAAGGTGGGAAGCGCTGCACCGGTGCGGCAAGAAACCCGTTGGGCAGACAAAATGAGGGGGAGCTTCTCCCTCCAGGGAAGGGGTCGGGTTGGTTGGAGGTCGGGTCGCACACTGTACCTGCCGGCACCAGAATTGACGCCGCGGTTTGGCATTCATCAGAGTTGCCAGCCAGATTGAGTAAGGGCACGTACCTGGTGCAAGGTACGAAGGTACAAAGGCAGTGTTTCCTGGAGTGTGAGGTACATCGTCGGACCCCGAGTGCTGCGCACCACCACCACCTCAGTCTCAATCTCGCACTCAACAAGGCTGCCTGTGGTCTTGGCAGAGTCCACCCATCTCACACCGAATGCACGTAAAATAAAGGCGATAAAAACAGCCGGGACATCGGCTTCCTTGCGTGGGCCACAACTGGCGATATTGCGCAACACTCTCAGGACGAGCCGGTTCAACGGCCTCTGCTGGACCAATTCCAACAGACGACAGTATCGCCATGAGGTAAAGAAGAGGGGGCACAACAGGCGAGAGTCTTTTGGCTTGCGCGTAGCCCTTGGCGCTAAGAGCTTGGCGGTCTTGGCTGCGGCGGAGAGGCCAAGAAGAGAGGAGCGGAAAGCTTCTTTTGTCGCACTTGGCTTGCCAGAAACCGAAAGTCACCTGTCCACAGCAGGCCCAGCTAACCCTGCTTATCGAGGAGGTTGAGTCGAAAAGGGGAGGTGGGGAACGGAAGGGCTGCTCGGTTAAGCACATTAGCAGCCCAAGTGCCCCGTCCATCACTCACTGTGAAGACCGATGACGGGCTGGCTGCAGCTGCATCCCGTTCGCGGTGGTCCCACCACGATTACGTTATTATGGAGTTATGGGGTAGGTGCCTTATGAAGACTAGGTATGCGTTTAACAGATGCTAGCGCCGTGCGCCCGGAGGCCCCGTGTTTTGAGCATTCTCTTGGTGTTCTTGGTGCTTCTTGGGTTTCTTGGGAAGGAAGGCTTGTCACGCTTATCCCTCCCCCTCCTCATCGGCCCCTTCCCTGTCAATCGTGCTGGCACTCCCATGTTGCCCCCCAAGCCTCCTGTCAGTCGTCCTATCTTTCCACTGAGTGTGCCCTGGGCAGAGTGTACTTGGGTACGACTGAAGGATGCTCTAGCAGCAGTGACATCAGCTGTGCGGCAGTACCTGGAGGCATGTACCCGATACCCGTGCCTCTGTTTCTTGGGGGTGGTCCTGTCCCGGGTGGTCACACCCAAGGGCCCCAAAAATACTCGGCTCCAGTGCGCCGTACTTGGCTGGAAACAGCATCTCTCCATCTGAGACGGTCGCAGGCCTCTTTTGAATTTCAGACGACACAATCAGAAATAATCACTGCCAAAAAAGCTTCGACCATGATGGATCCTGCTGCCGATGAACGCGACCAAGAACCGTGGCCGTGGCCATGGCGACTCTACCCTCAACGGTAGTGACACGGAAACATGGGAAACCACAACGGCCGCCGCGCAAATGAAGAAACCATACGCCGCGCTTGCGGTCATCAGGTGATGGCGAGCTATTGACCAACACGAATGGTAAACGGGTGCTCGCAGGATGAAGCAATGCGCGCCAAGGACGAATGCCAAGATCTCGGCGAAGGGAGAAGAGTGAAAAATGGAGATTTGCCAAGACTCCCAAGACAGCCAAAAGTCTTGGCATCGTATGCGCCCGGATGTTGCGGTGTTGGCGAGTGACTTGCGGAGTCAGCGTGCGCCGACTGTGTCGAAACAGAGCTGGCGACTGTGGCAGCAGCCTCATCTACCACCCTCGACGCCATTTCTGCAGCATCAGAGTTAGTATCAGCCGGGCCAGCGTACTGTGCTAATGGTCGGACACTCGGACGCAGCATAAAGCTCCATTGTCTCCCCCCATCTTCCGCGACATCAGCTCGGAAGCCCTCGCCACCACCGTCCAATCACAAGTCAGCTGGTCTCACAGGCCCCTGGTCGCCAAGACTTTGCCAAGACTCGCCAAGGCTCTTGGGAGGGTAGGAAGAGCGGAGAGGAAATGTGATTCATGAATAAAGAGAGAAGCCGTCTGTCCATGCCCCCAGATCAGTCTGATTAATTCCCCTCGAAAGCAACTCTTGGTCTTTTGACCGTCAGCAAAAAACATAAAGCATCGCTGACCGTCTCTTTTTTCCCATTTCCAGCTGCTTGATCGATCCCAAGTATCTTCTCGCCTGTTCTCGGCAATCGGCCCCTCCACCTGCCTTAGCCCAGACTTCGACTCCACTCCCACTTACACAGCATCCTACGCCCACGCACCTTGTTTTCGGTGTCCCAACCAAACGGGTCCCGGCAGAACCTAATCTTCCGGACTTCCTCACCGAGCTAGCTCGGTCAACTCACACATCATGTCCACCAAGCAAGAACACGAGTCCTCGGGGAGCAACTCCCCCAAGAGCAGCACTCCCGCGCCCTCGACAGCCACCAGCAACACTTCTCAGAGCGCCGGCAGCACCAGCGCCGACGACAACCTCATCTGCAAGTGGAACAGCTGCAACCTGAAGTTCGTTACGCCTGAGGCTCTCTACGTAAGTCGCACTCTCATAACACTCAACATGAGAATCTCATGACTAACAAACTCAACAGGAGCACATCTGCGAGCGCCATGTCGGCCGCAAGAGCACCAACAATCTCAACCTGACCTGCCAATGGAACTCCTGCAGGACAACCACCGTGAAGCGTGACCACATCACCTCTCACATCCGCGTCCACGTCCCGCTCAAGCCTCACAAGTGTGAGTTCTGCGGCAAGTCTTTCAAGCGCCCTCAGGACTTGAAGAAGCACGTCAAGGTAAATCAACCTCCAATCTCAGGGGAATCGCACGTCGCTCACACTCCCAGACCCACGCCGATGACTCGGTGCTCGTCGGCCGATCACCTCAGGACCAGGGGATGAACGGCTATCGGGCGCAGCCTGGCAAAGGTATGTACAGCTCAGTTTGCGCATCCAATGTCCTCTCGTTTTCTCCCAACCAGAGGCTAATGTGCCTCCAGCTTCTTCTAGCTACTATGATCATAATGGCCACATGAGGACTAACTCGGCCGCCTTCGCACACCAGGCTGGGCATGCTAGCTACTATGCTCCCCAACCATCTACAAATTATGGACTGTACTTCAACCAACAACCCTTGAACCCTCCCCGAACTGAGTACATCGGCCACCATGGCGGCTACGACAACCGGAAGCGCGCTTTCGACATGGTCGACGACTTCTTTGCACACGCCAAGCGCCGCCAGGTCGACCCTACTTCCTACCAACAAGTAGGCCGATCCCTTCTCCCCCTCCACGGTGCCCTCGGCCTCCACGCCGGTCCCATGCCTGGCTCCGACTACATGGCGGCTCCTCCCCCGCAGCACGTACAGCACCACCAGCACGTCGGCGGCGCTCCCTCTGGTCCTGGCCCTCTGACCCAGCAGTACTACTTGCCGCCCATGCCCAACGCCCGCACCAAGAACGATCTGATCCAGATCGATCAGATCCTGGAGCAAATGCAGAGCACTGTCTACGAAAACGCGAACCAGGCCACCCAAGGAATCCACATCCACGGCCAGAACACGTTCGATCTCCGCAACAGCCCCTCGCCTCCTGGCGGCCACAGAGGCTCCGCCGCCGGCATTCCAGTCTCAAACGGCGGCTACGACGCCGTCTCCGCTGCTCACATGGCGTCGCCGCTCACCGCAATCTCCTCCACTGGAACGCCCGCCGTCACTCCCCCCTCAAGCACCATGTCATACACCTCTGGTCATTCGCCCAGCCCCTCTTCTTCCGGCATGTCTCCTCAATCAAGACACTCCTCGACCGCATCCTCAGTCATGTACCCCAACCTCCCTGCTGTCAGCTCCGTCTTCCCCGGTCAATCCACGACCTCTACTCTCGGACCCAGCTTCGACAGCAACGAGCGCAGACGCTACTCGGGCGGCATGCTCCAGCGTGCCAACCCCTCGTCACCAAGATCTCCCATCATCAGGGAGGACTCCTCCGGCTTCTCCACGCCGAAGGCCGAGTCTGTCGCCTCTTCTATCGGTTCTCCGTCCGCCTCTTCCGACTCCGACATGAGTGAGGGTGCCCGTGACCGCGAGGAGAAGTACGACCAATGGCTCGAGAACATGCGAACCATCGAGGCTCTGCGCGAGTACATCCGCGAGCGTATCGACCGCAAGGACTTTGCCGAGGAGGCTCGCTCCCCGGAGGCCAGCCGTCTCAAGTCTCCTGAGCCTATGGAGGTTGACGCCAAGCCCGCTCCGGCAGCGCCGCTGTACCCTGTCTTGCGCATGCCCAACTGAGATCCGCAACTCGACATGAGCCGGTGCTGAAGAAGCGAGGCCCCAGTCACTACCAAGCTGGGTGCGTGTACCAACAGTTGTCTACAAGCGTGTTTGTGAAAAGTTTTTTTCCAAAAGGAAAGGGCAAAGTGATCGGTTCAACCTTGGTTCGTATTCTATTCTACTGCATTCTCTTTTACATTGCCTACAAAGCGCTTCTGGCAAAATACCTCCCACCTGTCGAAGCCCACACCTCTTTGTTACGTTACATACCCTGGTCGGTCGGAAGTTGAAAGGGGAAGTGGATTGATGCGCAGTCCCCAAAACGCAGATGGATTGTGGTGGTTTATCACCCCAGGTGCCAACTGATGGTCACCGGAAACCCCTCAAAAAACACGTCTTTTGATTTATTTCATCTATCACGTCAACGAAGGGGAGCGAAAGAAGCTTTTTACATTCGGGAGGGCTTTGCGAGCAAAGCAAAAACAACCAACATCTTGGTGCGGAAACACTTTTTTTCAAACGGTCGCGGATTATGACGGACGGATATTGGAACGGGAATGAGATCATGAAAACAAGTCATGTTGCTTCGCCATTGTGTAGTCTCCTTGGCTCGATTGAGGGTCGAATGAAAAATGCTTATTGCACCTCTGACATGACGTTCTCACGGTGACTTCATTCCAATTTGCTCTAACATCGCAATGAGACTGTCTCAACCACATACTTGATTGAGGTTGGCCAACCTCGTGTAGGGTCCTTGGCAGGGTGATGAAGTTACCTATTGTGATGGTTGATCAAGAACATTTCGGTTGGCATCGGCCTTTTCAAGACAGCTAACTCTATCAGCCCTTGCTGTCCTCTACTCGGTTGGCCCTGTCATATCTGATTGTCTCACAAATGTTCCGGGAGACAGCTCGAAGCTCGAAGCTCGTGGTGTCGCAGGCTGGAAGACTAGGGCACTCCCGAGACTCACGACAGGACCGGGCCACCTTCAAAATGTCGTGAACTCATTGTAGGTTTTCGCCGCCTCCGTCATCTCGCCACGATCCTTTTTTTCCCTCTCACCACGGCCAATGGTCTCTTATCACGAGCCTGTACTCATCACGTTGCTGTGCTATAAATGGTGTTTAGCCCGATCTCCCGTCTAAACCGCCGTCGAGGTCCGCAAAGTGCCGGATCCGGGGGTGTGGCGTCATCGGCAACGTCTGCCCAGGACGCCTTCCGTCGGACCGCACCCGTCTGTTCCACGTCCCTTGGGATCTATATTTATAGAAAGAGATGAATTCATCCAAATCAGAGATGAAAATAGCTCATGTGGTCTTTGCAATCAAGCTTCTTTGGCAGACTAGCATGAATGAGTAGCACACCGTTGTCTAGATCTGCTACTATCCTGCTGACCATGTTCAGACGTCGAAGATTAGCCCGAATATCTGGCTTTGGGATGCGTCTGTGGAATGCTCCTAGCAAGCGAGGAGCAGGTCGACCTACTAGAGTCCGATATCAACCAGCAACAAACGACCCCAAACACGCCGAAGCTGGCCTGGACTCCAAGCCATCGTAACACAAACCTCATTCAGCAAACCTCATGACGCTTCTTGGCAGAACACGGGCGCGGTGAGACGTCTATACCCATTGGGTCTTGCATGTCTTTCTCATCCCTTCAAACATTCCAGAGCTGACCTTTCGCCGGCCCGAGGACTCCGACAAGTGACACAAGTGACAAGTCAGCCCTGTGGTCGGCCCTTCTTCCGAGAAATCACTCCCACAAAGGTTTCTTGGAAGCTGAGCTCAAGATGACTTCACCCAATGGTCATCCTTCATTAGCATGTCCCCAGATCATGAACTTGAAGTCACAGCTCGCTGACCCAACTGCCAAGCAAACGGTGCGATGGCCACCGCCCACCGGGGCGAGGTTGTAAGCAGCCCTACCCCGAATTTCCTCGTTCGGTCACATCTTCTACGATACGATATGTCAGACGCGAGGAGTGGAAAGTTCCCGATTCGCCTGTCACTTGAGATTCCAGAGGCGGAACGGTCGTAAGGGGTAAGGTAAAGAGGAAAACTTGAAGCGCTAACGACCCGATCCTTTAGGTTTTGCAGGGAGCGAGTTGGAGTCCATACCGGGCGCTGATCGACAGACTCGTTCGTCTGGGCAATGGTATTTTAGTCTTTCCGAGACATACCTTACCACAACGGCTTGCTACTAAGCTGTAAGCTTGCAAGTAGAGGTGCTCACTCTGTCTTACGCTCGGTGTGTGCTGCTCCGTCGAGGGTAAGGTAGGATACTACGCATCCCGAATGATCTATAGTCATGCTTGGCGATGTTGTCATCATTGGCTTGTTGCCTTTGAACGACACGGAGCAACAATAATCGCTGGTCGAAACCAACTGCGCTGTGTGTTGTTGTGTGTGACCGCGGGGATATATAAACCATCAAAGGGAACCAAACCTCGAGGACGTCTTTCTTTCTCATCACACAAGACACAAGCAAAATCCACACAAAATATCCCCTTAAGTCCTAATACATAATCCATATTATCACTCCAAGTCTCCTCCCAGACAAACCAACCACCTCAAAACTACCAAAATGAGATTCTCCATCGCCAACATCACGACCGCCGCCCTGGTCCTCCTCCTCAACGCCGGCCCCACAGCCGCTTCCCCCGCCGACATCGACGTCCGCGACGCCCCGCGCCCCGCCGCGAACCTCTGCTGCTGCGACAGCAGCCGCCCCGGGTACAACTGCAAGGTCCCGGAGGCGCAGGGCGGCGCCGAGGACCCGATCTGCACCCTGCAGCTGTGCCCGCACGACCCCGAGACGCAGAAGCAGTGCTGCTGCTGCTTCCCGAACTCGGAGGTTTTCCCCGTCAAGTGCAGTGCGATCCCGAAGGACGAGGAGTGCAACTGCCCTGCGGTCTACTGCCCCTTCTCATACGGCGAGAAGTACTTGCCTGGATACCCCTGGACCCCGGCTGCTTGAATGGGTTGATCAAAGAGAGGGACAGGGAAAGAGCAGAGAGCGGAGACGGGATGATATGGGATGAAAATGGATTCTCTCTTTCGTTGTGCTGGATAGCTCTTCGTCTTTCTGAAGATAAATTGATTAAATCCTTGGACATTCTGTCATCACGCTACGTGTGTGCCTTTGATGTTCCTAACAAGCATTCTACCGGGAAATCTGATTCAATCTGTCAATTCCTTTTGTCCTAGAACACTTATATTGTGACCAAATGTTGTCAATTACAAGGACTAGTCCCGCTTCCTCTAAAACCAATCCGAGTTACGCAACTTCTCAAGGTTATCGCTATCGGTTCCCCAGGATTGCTCTTACTAAGTCGCCTCCGAATGGTCCCCAGCACCACCTCGAGATTGGTCCATCTCCTCTGCTCCACCCTGATTGCCGACAATATCGTGCGAGCCAACACACTTCGCGCGGCAGATGTTCAAGGTGTTCCTGCGCTGACTGCGGTGGAGGCGGAGGCGGAGGTGGCGGCGGAGTGAAGGCCGCGGGTGAAAGGGGACAACCCTCGCAATAAGTGGATATGCCTCTTCAACCATCACGCGCTTGTCTTTAGCGGAGCTCCGCAGGCTCAGCATGAGGACGCGAATTAACGCCGCATTCGCGGGGTACGACGGATCGCCAATCGTGTTACCAAAGTCTCAAGTTGCCATATAAGAATGATCTTCCCGAAAGATAACATGTTATCGCTTCTGAGGCAGTCGCAGCACATTCTCTCTTTTCATCACTCAATCTCATACTCACTCTCAACAGCAACAACAACCCTGGCCGATACCCCTGACCAACTCTTCCCCGCCCCCTGTTCAACCCCCCGGAGTTGATAAGCGCAAACATGGGTTCTCTCCCCGCCCCGGTCAAGCCCGAGTACGAGATCTTAGAGAAGCCGAGCCGCAGCGGCCGGAAGCTCCGCATCGTCTGTCTCGGCGGCGGCGCGAGCGCCCTCAACCTTGCGCATGAGGTCAGCATATGCAACACTCTCGATCTCGAGCTTGTGTGCTACGAGAAGAACCCTTCAATCGGCGGAACGTGGTACGAGAACCGCTACCCGGGCTGCGGATGTGACATCCCCTCGGTCAACTACCAGTTCTCCTGGGCGCCTTCGCCTGAGTGGACGCAATTGTGAGTGAAGAGATCAGATTGATCCTAACCAGGGGATCATTTTTGCTGACGAGGTGCACAAAGTTACTCGAGTGCCCCTGAGATTCTTCAGTACTTCAAGGATGTCGCGGAGAAGTATGATTTGAACAAATATATCCACCTCAACCACAGAGTTGTCGGTGCTTTCTGGGACGAGCCCACGCAAAAGTGGAACATTCGCGTCGAGCAGCAGGATGGCACCGTCATTGAAGATACAGCCGACATCTTTGTCAATGCTAGCGGTGTTTTGAAGTAAGTCTTCACAACTTTCTCAAGTTCGATCATAATCTGACCAAATGCTCCCAGCAAGTGGAAATGGCCCGCCATCAAGGGCAGGGAAACCTTCAAGGGAAAGATGCTTCACAGCGCCAACTGGGACAACAGCATCTCTCTCGAGGGAAAGCGCGTCGGCGTCATCGGCTCCGGTTCTTCTGCAGTTCAAATCGTCCCCAACATCCAGCCTAGTAAGTTGCTTTCCCTCCGTAAATAAATCTGTGTGCTAACTGTGCATAGTCGTTGGGAGCCTGAGCTGTTTCATTCGTAGCTCTTCGTGGGTTGTCGGTGGCTTTGGCCAACGGTTTGCCGGAAAGAATGGTAGCAACTTCAAGTGTAAGTGGTTCCTCCGCGCAACTCAAGCCTCACGCAGCTGACTCGCTTGCTTGCAGACAGCGAGGAGCAACATGAGATCCTCCGCAACGACCCCAAGAAGTACCTGGCGTACAGGAAGAAGATCGAGTCAGAACTCAACTCCCGCTTCCGCTTCATCCTCAACGGATCAAAAGAGCAACAAGATGCCAGAGATGTAAGTGAACCAACTTTGCTTATCCACCTGGAATAGCCCCACTCATCATCTTGTCGTACAGTTCGCAGAGAAGGACATGCGCTCCAAGCTTGCGCCCAGACCTGATCTTCAAGACCTCATCATCCCCAAAGACTTCGCCGTCGGCTGCCGCAGGCCGACGCCCGGTAACGGCTACCTCGAGGCCCTCTGCAAAGAGAACGTGAACGTTGTGTCATCAAGTATCCAGGAAATCACACCCAAGGGAATCAAGACGGCAGACGGCACCGAGCACGAGTTCGACATCATCGTCTGCGCCACCGGCTTCGACGTCAGCTGGCGCCCGCATTATCCCACCATCGGCCGTAACGGCGTCAGTCTCAGCGAGTACTGGAAGGAGACGCCAAACACATATCTGTCGTTGACGGTGGCAAACATGCCCAACTACATCAGTAAGCAACCTCGGAATCCTCCCATTGAAGGAATATGCTGGCTAACACTGAACCAAGTCTTCAACGGGCCCTTCGGACCCTACGGCCACGGAAGCTTCCTCCCCATCACCGAGGCAGTGGCCCGCTACGTCATGCAACTGCTGCAGAAAATGTCCGAGGAGGAAATTGCATCCTTCTGCCCCAGGCAGGAGGCGGTCAACGACTTCGTTGAGCACCGCAGGAAATTCCTCCCGCGCACGGCATGGACTTCGCCCTGTCGGTCGTGGTTCAAGCAGGGCACCGTCGATGGCGAGCCGATGATGTGGCCCGGTTCAAGGATTCAGTTCTTTGAGACCATCAACACCCCGCGGTGGGAAGATTACGAGCTCAAGTACACCACGACGAATCGGTTCGGGTACTGGGGCAACGGGTTCGCGGTTCGTGAGCAGGATGGTAGGGACTTGAGCTGGTATCTGGGCCTGCTGGATGGTGTGGACGAGCAGCCTGCGCTACCCGATGAGGATTTTGAGGAATTTTTCATGAACAGATAGATTTTTAATGTTCTAGACTGTAATGTATCTTTGGTTTTCGGAGTTAGATATCAACTGAATTTTATGAAACGACTCACTCCTTTGAGGAAAACATCGCCTGACTACGCTATGATGAAGGAACAGAAGTGGAAGTCAGTGCACAGGTCTTTTCTCACTACCTCGGCTTGGGAATTAGTCCTGAGCAGTTTCAAAACGCCAAGGCCAGTTCTTGGTATATGATTGATGTCTCAAGGTGACAGGACTTTTGCGCGAGGGAGTCCTCTTATCACCGAGCACATCGGACCGAACCGGCCAACTTAAGTCTTGACCGAACCTTGATGCCGTACCTCCAGCTAGGATCCTTGCCGACCCCTCCTCAACAGCAGAATCTCAACAGTCCTGGCTTCATGACATTCTTCCTACCGATAACATTCTTCCAATCGCGTGTCTCATTTCTTAATCTCTTGGGTTCTTTTTATCGTCATTTCAAAATGAGTTCTTTCAAGTCGAAGCGAGGACAGTACAAAGCAGTCCGGCGGGATGAGTCACGAGTGTCGTCATCTACCAACGACGAAGAGCGCCAAATTCCGGATGATCCGCCCCCGATCAAGACGGTAGAAGACGAGCTTGAGGCCCTGAGGAGAAAGGTGCGACGATTGAGAACCAGCGTGGCGCTTTTGGTCGCTACTCTAGCCATGACTCTTATCTTCTTCCTGCTCTACGTTCAGCTTGCAACAGGGTCTGCACGATACGTGCTGCTAGGGCAATATGGGCTCTGATGTGGTTTGGGAGTTTTCGATTCGATGGTAAGACTCTTCTAGTGAAGTTTTACTCGTATTTATTAGGAACTGAGGTGTGATGAGAACAGGTCGCAACCTTGAATCAATGTCACACTGACAAAGAATGATACCAGCCAGATCAGAGTTATTAGATGCGCAGTCAAAGGTCAGATCAAAATATGTAATGTAAAGTTTAGACGGAGAAGGATGAAGCCATAAAGACTGCGTCATCATTCATGATCAAGGAGTTACGCACGGGTTGTTTCTCATGACAGTCTGTTGTAGTGGTCTCACTGATTTGATATGCCAAAAAGACACAACCCCTCAGGAGCTTTTAACGTGCCAAATTATTCCTGACCGCAGTACTGACTGCGTTATTACATGCTATGTCTATTGTGTTGAAGCAAGCCCTTGGCCATTTGTAGTCTGTGGTAGTCATGTTTGTGTGTGCCAGGATCATCATGGGCTTCCATCCTTTAGATGACACCCTTCATCAACTTCAAATTTCCTCTCTCATCCCCCTTCTTTACCTCAAAATTCAAGTTATTTAGAAATACTCGCTGGTCATCCAGGCTCAGTCGAATCATAGTCTGCTGAAGATTCCACAAACTGTAGGATCAAAGCTTGATGTCGTGTTATCGCCGCGCAAGCTCTGAAAGTAATTAGCATGCCTTACAACTCAAAATGGCTGACGCAAGTACGGGCAAGTTAAGGCAGGAGGAAGCTTTGGGGCTTGTTTGTCCGTTTCTGATCATGAATTTGGCCGTATCATAAAACGATTTCCCGAAAGAGTTTTGCTATCCGGGCGGATACTTCTGGCTAACCGGGCGGGTAGTCGATATATAAAGATAGGGATAGTCGATGAAAACGATAATGATACCGACGACGACGACGACGACGACGACGATGATGGTAACCTAGGATGGAGAGAGGGATAGAAATAGCGACAATAATAGTAAAAATTAATTAAGATAAAACAAAGTATTAGACAGTTAGTTATCCGCCTGGTTAGCTCGAAGTACCCGCCCGAATAGCAAGACTCTCCTAAAAAGTCGAAGGAAGGAAAACAGACGAGGTTGGCCTCTCATCACCAGGCATCTTTATGAATAAAATAGAGTCTTGGATAAGAGGAAAAGAACCACTATTACAGCTAAATTCTACTCCAGAAGAATATACGAGGGCAAGTCTGGCCAAAGAGGACCAGTAGCAACTCAGGAGGCAAAATTGGAAGCCAGAAACTTCAGCCAAGGCCGATGTGCCTATGTCACACACAGGCATACGCTCTCATACGTCATCCCAGCCAATCGTGTGCCAAAGAAGGCCACTGTCAGCAGAAGAACAGCAAGCATTACGGTCTCTTGTCCCACCGCGTGGAAATAGCTGCCAATGACCTGCAGACTAGCAGGCCTACAACTGAACATATTGATGTTTTAGATTAGTTTCGCCAACTCGTTTAGAGAGGCGGACGTGAGAGGGAAGAGCGGGAGCAAAGGGACACTCGATAGCCGTTAGGACATGACCCGGGCTTACAGATTCCTTTTGCCGTGTCAGTGATGTTATCGGTGGCACCAACTTGGCTTCGGGCTGGGCCGATTTGGGGGCGCTTAGCTCGTGTGGCAGAGTTCATCCTTGCAGGTACAACAGAGCTTGATCCAGGGCCGGCGTTTGATGCCGACACGGACCGGATGAACCCTCGCCAGCAACTATCCACCCATGGAACACCAAGACGAATGGAGAATATGAAGAAACGTTAGAAGGGAAGAAGGAATCTTTTCAATTTGAACTCTTGAAGAAGCGACGGAACAGCCAGTTCCTCAGGTAGCATATCAGAAACGATTCAGACACCAAGCTATGATGTTTGAGAGGAGCGAAACGTCCACCAAAAGCATGAGCAAAAACACACAAACGTAGCACACTACACCAGACATTCGCAAGTCATTACCGACCTGGAGACTACTCCAACCTTCACTGGCGATTTCGAGGCGGTCCGAAGACTTTTCCCCAGATGACTTCGCCAACATGGAGCACTGTGACCCAAAGCAATTAAGTCCGAACGACAGACGCAGTTACACAACTGGATTAAGTCCGCACGGCAGAAACCGTGACCGACTGAGCATGGTAACTTCGGACGGCATCAGAGCAAAGATTAAGGAACCCACTTACCGCACGCCGCAGCAACAGTAAAGACCCGGTCTAGCAGTCCTAGCGCGCACTACCCCTCAAATCAGATGTTCTATTTTACCAATCACAGGCCTACGCACCCCCGCGACTATAGGATAACCTTTTCTAACAGAAATGGCCCCCGTACACTTTCGTCCAGCTAAGACTCCGCTGCCGTAAGCGGCCTCGTTTGTTACAGGTCCTGAGAATGTAGAGTTCATACTAGCCTACTAGGTAGCGCTGTTCAGAACCAACCCAGTACAGCTTATATGCGGCGGCGGAGAGTCTACGATAGTACGGAGAAGCAGCACGCGAATGCTGCAACATAAAAACACCGTTCTGCAGATTGGAATTGCTCCTGTCATAAATGCTATTCAAGGAGGAGGAACGCCGCGCATTATAAAAGCTGACCAATATGGTGTGTTATATTACATAGCGTCACGTTGAGGTAGATACTTCAAGGAAGTCGGGAAGAGAAGACGCACTCTTGATGATGAAAACTTGAATCTTATTATAGTGTATACTGGTCGCAAAGGAGGGGGATATTTCTTCTACCAATGCAATCTTCTGGTGGGTCTCATGTCTTTGCGGCACGGCCTAACCAGCTCGCTACCTAGCTTAGATTATGTAGTACAAGACAGGGGATAACGATTCCCGGCCATTTCAACCTTCTCTCGGAGTCACAGGGACGTCAAATTCCGCTGGCATGAGCAAGAGAACATCGTGATGGACTCGGTTGTTAACTGAAGAAGGAAATCAAATGTCGAGCAGGTGAATACGGTAAACTAATTCTACTACTTTGTCATGCGTATAAAGAGGATGCTCCTGCTTGCCCTCCTCGGTTCACTTACCCAAATCATCAGAGCAAAACCAACCATTTCAACAGTCTTCCTGAAACCAAGATCAACATGGTTCACATTCTGACTTCTATCACACTCTTTACAGTGCTGCTCGCCAGCGGCACCGCTGCACACCCGGGCGACCACCACCCAGATATATCCCATTTGGAGCGAGAACATGCCTTCCATAAGCGAACCGCAATCGCCGGGGCTGAAAAGATGAGTCGTTGTGCCGATACCTCGGGGTCCGTCAGGCAGAGTGCCATCCAACGACGCGCCGGGACCTTGGAGCGCCTACGGCAAGAAAGGGGCTTCACGCCCCAAGCTGACGTGCAGCGCCGTAACAAGGCAGAGGTATCCTACTATGACTCCCTCAACCACAACCTGACGTCCATAGTCAAGAGCGGATCCTACGAAGAGTTGTTTGGTTCGAATGCCTCTTGCGTACTGGGTCGAGCTGAGACCATCGGCCCTTACTACGTCGAGGGCGAGCTCATTCGCAGTAACATCACCGAAGACCAAATCGGCATACCGATGCACATGGAGATACAGTTCGTCGACGTCAATACTTGCAAGCCAGTTCCCGCACTCTTCATCGACATCTGGGGTGCCAATGCAACGGGCGGCTACTCTGGAGCGGACTCGCCCGCTGGCTTCAGCGGATTCGGCGGTCTCAACTCCACCTTCTTGCGAGGCATCCAGATCACGGACGAACATGGTGTGGCGATTTTCGACCTAATTATACCTGGACACTATTACCCTCGCGCCACACATACACATATTGTGGCATGGGGAAATGCTACAACGTTTGCCAATGTGAGTCAAGTGATGGCTTCTGCCATGTATCCATTCTGTTACGCTTGACATTGTCCGACTACTGCAGAAGTACTTTGCTATTTCAGAACGCTAACGATTTGAAGGGTACTATAGCTGGTGGTCTTGCAACAGACGACACGTTTGTGCGCTACGTAGGGCAGCTGTATTACGAGCAGAAGCTACGTGATGCCGTTGACCCAATCTGGCCTTACAACACCAATACAGATAAGGACAACTTCAAAAATGTGGATGATTACATTCTGGCCGAAAACAAGACGATCAATGGCAACACGGTTGGTGACTTGGGGCCTTATGACCCTTTCCTCAAGTATGCCTACTTGACGAATGATCTGGCGGACGGCATCTTCGCCTGGCACACCATAGGGATCGACATGGGCGACAACTTCAATGGCGGCTTTCAAGCGGCTGCCAAATACGAAGAAGACGGTGGAAGGGCCCTTAACGCATGGGGTGACGGTTCAATCACCCCTTATCCAGCTGTAGTGCCACCCAAGGGCATGGCCACGACTACTGCGATGGGTAGCAGTGCTACGTGACTGTGACGACCCTTAGGGCATGAATATCATCATAGGCATCCGGACTGTAGCGTGAATTCTGTATCCCAAAATGACTAGAAAAAATACGGGTTTTGAAATGGAAGATCTATGGGCAGGTTCTGGGACGAAGGAACAAGACACAGAGTACCAGTTATATACGTAGTGTGTTAGATTCCGGCTAATATTGTCGTGGTGATATGTCACTGAATGGACCGCTATATGGAGGACGCAATTCGAATCCATATTATGTCTCACTGTGCCTATTGGGACACATGGCCTAATGCTACCCCAAAACTATCCAAGCCTTGGGTGACTTGGCTGAATCCTTTGGGTGCGTGGACGCCATGAACAGCGTCTGAAATCTCGAGTCCCCGCAGCTACATGTGGTCTGCCCGACTATCGTAAAGCCGGCCTCGAAGAAGGCCTTGCGCCACTCAACTTCACACTGTTCCCTCTTGTCCTTCCTGCTCCACCAACTCTCCGTAGATCCAAAGAGGAAAGCAGACAGCATGGCACTAAAGACACTAACAACAACACACGCTCAAGAGGCAAATAATAGGAACAAGATAATATTATGCATGGTGATCGAGTTGCGAATGTTCTCTTTTTGGAGATAACTTGACTCAGGTTTCCATGTCGACTATCTATTAAAGCTTAGTTCCCTATTGATTGGGGACGTTCTGTTTTCTGCAGCTTCATGACGTGAACAGATCAACTTTCGGCCTCGCTTAATCAATTGGCCGGAGAGGTCGACCACGCACTGGCGTGTGAGGACTGACTTGCCGCCTTTGTGACCAGACCTAGATGGTGTTCCAATAGGTGGTAAACTGCCACAAAATATTTCCAAAAAAATCTTGCACACTACGGGGCCATGAAATTTGAAAACCCCGACTGCTGGTCTTTGACCGAGGCCGAGCTTCTCAAGGTGGAAACTCTCGCCGCCGATTCGGCCGGCATGAATACGCCGTACTTAGTAGGAAACCTCTCGCTCGGGACAGGGGTGGATCAAGTTAGATCGTTCTTGCAGAAAAGAAACTGATTGATAAGACAAGTCAACTTCAACATCACTCCATCAAAGGTGCCATACACGAAAACCCCTGGTTGGTGTTCGCATCACCCCCGCACCGTTGCATGACTTTTTTTCTTTGCAGGCCTCCTACTTATTTTCTTCATCGGACTTCGGTACTCTTCCAAAGAACGCAGGTGATGCAAAATCACTAAATCACTATTGGGCCCCTTCCTCATGCGTCCGTTTAATCAAGCAGGAGGATGGGAACCTCTCCATAGGCTCGGGTCCTCCACTCCAGGCACTTGCAGGCGGGAGCTATCCGAGGCCCGTGAGTGGGGCAGATGCGATCGAATAGCATCGCGCTCAGGAAGCTTCGCTACAACCTCTTCAACCTCTTTTCGGAGCCAACTGTCTAAACAAGCTCTCGCCACGACCCTTGCCTCCCACGTTGCCAAGACCTTAATCGCCCTCCGCAGGCGGAAAACGGCAATTGTGCGGGAAGGAAGCGTTGTAATCTTGATGGACACCAATGAACTCGCAGTGATCTGGGCTCGGTGCCGATCCCCTGGACCCTGGTCGATTAAGAATTCGTCAATGTCGAACTTCGGCGTTGAATCTCCAAATGCGCTCGATGGCGAATGCAGGCAGGCTGTGCAGAGCGGAATACATATAAGACGACAGCATGTAGCGGCCTCATAGACCTTCCCTTCTCCTACTCGCCACCCAGCCTCTCTCCTCTCGTTCGTTTCTTCCTCGAGGTTGCCCCAAGATGCGGTCGTCACTCCTTTACTCTGTCCTTGGCCTCGCCACAGGCTCAACCTTTGCCCGCCATGTCCACCAGATGCGGGCAGATTTCAACTCTGCGGCCCTCCCGCAAGCCCACTCCGCTCGTGGTCTTCCGGCCGCAGACGGCAAGAAGGGTGTTCTCCTCATGAACCGCATCGGCCCCTCTTCGTCTGAACTCTACATCGCCAATGCGGACGGCACGAACGAGCGTAAGCTCCTCGGAAACAGCTCCTCCTTCGAGTACCACGCCTCCTTCTCGCCGGACGGTCAATGGGTCGTCTTCACGACGGAGCGCAACGGCGACGGCAACTCTGACCTGTACAGGTGCCGTGTATCTGCCGCGGCCAACGGGACTTGCTCGGACTTGGAGAAGCTCATCGCCACACCGTCTGTCGAGGATGCCGGTGCGCTCTCTCCCGATGGGACCCAGCTCGCCTTCGTCTCGACCGAGAACGGCTACAAGACCAACATATGGGTCCAGGACCTGGCCACCGGAGAGAGGCGCAACCTCACCAACACCGCCGAGATCGCTGGCGACCCGTTGTTGCCGGATGGATACTTCCGCCCCAGCTGGTCTCCTGACGGCGAATGGATCGCCTTCGCCTCGGACCGCAACACGGCATGGCGTGGTCACGGCAACGGAACCGGTTGGGAACACACGCAGGAACTCTCCGTCTACGCCATCCGCCCTGACGGCACTGGCTTCCGCGAAGTTGCGACAAAGTCCGGATACTGCCTCGGCTCCCCGAAGTGGTCTACGGATGGCAAGCGCGTGGTATACTACGAGATCACCGTCGAGGACACATGGAACGCCCATCGACCCGAGTCCGTCGCCGCTGTCACCTCCGCGATCGTCTCCGTCGACTTTGAGACTGGAACTGATCGTGTTGAGCATGCGTCTGGCTCCGGCCTTAAGATGTTCCCCCAGTGGTTGTCTGGGGAAACGGATGCCACCGATGACATCGCGTACTTGATCAAGGGCAACGATAACGAGGGCTACAACTACACTTCCGGCGCGACAGCCGCCGTCAAGGCCGCCATCCGCTCCCCGGCTTGGTCCCCTGATGGAAAGTTCGTTGTCTACGAGAAGGTCGGCTTCACCGCGCGTGCTCAGGAGAAGCCCCTTTACAGCTGGGATGAGGACTGGGAGTACCGATCCACGGACGTCTTCCCCCAGCTTTCTCTCCAGGGTCGCCTCGTCATCACGCAGAAGCAGCTCGGCAACTCCTCCATCGTCTCCATGAACCCCGACGGAAGCGATCTCAAGCTCGTCTTCGACTCCTACTCCACCGGCGAACTCGACTCCGCCCTCGTCGCGAAGGGTCTTGCCGGCGCTTTCCAGCCTGCCTGGTCTGCTGACGGAGAGTGGGTTGTCTTTGGTCTTGGATCCTGGTTCCAGTCCCGCGCCACCGGCAAGGCCCGCGTCTACCGCGCCACCTCCAACGGAAGCTACTATGAGGCTTTGACCGACGGCACCGTCCACTCCGGTTTCCCCAGCTACTCCCCCGACGGGCGCTACGTCGCCTTCCGCGAGTGGGGTCTCCGCTACGGCATCCGTATCCTCGACCTCGAGACCCGCGAGGTCCGCAGCCTGACTAACGCCACGGACAACCTGCCCTTCTGGTCGCCCGACGGCGAGCGCCTCGTCTTCACCCGCAAGGTGAGCTCGACCAACTTCGACGTCGCCACCATCCGTCCCGACGGCACGGACCTGCAGATTCTCACCTCCAGCGGCGCCAACGACGCCCACGCCGTCTGGACCGCCGACGGCAGGATCCTGTACTCAAGCGGCATGTACGGCTTCCGTGACGAGGCCGCCATCTACGACCAGACTTTCCAGCCGTACGGGCAGATCATTGTCATGGATGCTGACGGATCCAACAAGCGCATGTTGACGGACAGCTTGTGGGAGGATTCCATGCCGCTCTACGTGCCCAATGAGTTCCTGGTCTAGGGTGGTTGATATGTATATACTTCATAGCGAATCAGCGACATAATGCAACATATTGATACCAAGATATAAATTGATGTCTATAGCCCAAGTTGCAAATGAGACGTCAGGGCAACAATTCTACCATTCGATCTCCGCATCTCCTTTGTCTCAGTGGCGGCATCTGTGAGCTTGTCTTTTCCTCAAGGTCGGAATCTTTGAGCCTTGCTGTTTCCCATTTCACGTCAATTACGTCCCTCTTGTATACACGTCACATACTCTCAAAGACATAGGGATGAAGGTCCCGAAGACCGGAGGAACACCTTTCGCAGCCTTCGGAAACAGACTCTGAATGAAAAGCCTGATTAGTCTCCTTCTGGCCAATCTCATGCGTGTCACTTCATGGAGACCGCTGGTCACCTATCGAAGATTAGCAATTGCTGCCGAGAAAGATGTCAACAGCAACAACTTCTCGCTTTAATAGTTGAGTCCGTCCTCTCAAAGGCCCAGTTCTGTGGCTATAAAAGACCAAAGCTAGGTTCGACCGATGATGAGCTCCAAATGCAATCGATGTCTTGAGGCATGATTAATTCCTTTCGAAGTGCTGCAAAGCAGCATAAGCCTCTTGCGATACACGTGCTTCACGCCAACAAAACTTCAGCCCTCGTTTCAAAAGGGATTTCAATGATGGTATGTATCCTCTGAATAAGCCCCAGAGGTCAACAGAGCCAAACGATGGTCGTAGTTGAAGACTCCATCGGTCCTGGAACCGCCCGCGCAAGGTCCCCGTTCCCAGCCCGGACAGAACGTCTTGGAAAAGGCACAACTCAAATGCTCATTGTAGACAAAACATGCCAAGTACTATCAGATTGTCGAAGCGGGTTACTTCTCCCAGTAAGGCACGTCTTAATATATAAACACGAGACTTCCTCTGATCCTCTAGCTTACCCCTGCCTAGACCGTTGCCGTCCGCGTTGCGCGGCACAGGCGAAAGAAACCAGACGTCATCCAGCTTAAAAGCAACAACGAAATCGGGTTTCTAGGCCAGGAACCCCAATGGTAGAGATCTGTGACGTCGTTAAGTGGAACTTAAAAACCCTTAATGGAGCTCATTTCATATTCTTCGCTCTCATCAACACCAGACTTCCGAGCCCCTGAACTCAGTCTACCTTGAGCAAGGCTCGTTGTCAGTCGTCTTTCATGGTATAGTCCACAGAATAACAACCGAATACCAGCGGCACCTACTTTGATAACGAATCTCAGAGCCCTGTCAAATAATTAACCGTCCCAAAAGTGGAATCTCTTCAGGAAAGTCTGTTCACACCAGGAAAGCGAAACGTTCAAAAAAAGACATTGCTGAAGAAGCCAAGTCTCAGCGGCAGAACCTCCGTTTAAATATCCTCGCCAAAGTCCAGACACATGCCAACTACAAAAACAAACCTGTTGCCGTTTCGCGTGTCTAAAGTTGCCAATGATGACCATTGACGGAAAATTGCGTAGTGCACAATCCTAAGGCTCGTCACTTGGCAAAGACCAACGACTCCAGGGCCGAGCAAAACCTATGCCGTGAAAGTACCCCCCTCGTCCAAGACAACAAGCTTCGCTCCTCATCTTCTCTGGTTCTTTATTCGTGTTCCTAACAACCCAGGAGTTGCTCGACGTCATGACAAGACGAGCGTCTGATTACCTCTGCATGGCTGCATAGTCTCGGGTATGAGCCTGCCACATCGCACCATCCATCAGAAAGAGATGAGCGTCAGATATCATTCTTGGTCGTGCCTTTCGACTTGACAGTCAAAGCAAAGGAACAGTTATGTATCCTCAGCGCTTCCCCGGCTTCCCTCAAGATGCCGAGATAGAACGCAGACCAGGCAAAGGCCCTCAGGCTCCTATAAAAGGCCGTGCAGATGTAACTCCTCAGTCAACCAACCTGCCTGCATCAACAGGGGTTTTGCGATGCAGCAATGCCTCAGTCCATCGTTGATGGGATCAAGAGCGCTCCCGTATGATCTGATTCGAGTGCGATAACTGCCATCTTCCCTGTTGCTATGTGCTCCCGTCCATGGCTGATCGTCAAGCGTATCAACCAGCGATAATAGAGGTAGCCGTCGAGACGACCAACATGCAGTTGATGTCAGTGATCATACACACGTTTACCAGAGCATGCTTTGGATCATCTTCACAATGACACTGGCTCGAGGAGGATTCGGTCACCGTCCTTCCGGCCCCGGCCCATTGTTGGGCAAACCCCGAAAGCAGTCCCAGCTGAGTAGCCTTTATAGCTCATCCCCCAGACGTATCACAACCCTCAGTAGCACAGGTCACGATAACGATAGACCATCATAAATGGGACCAAACAGTCAAGAGTTCCATTCTTTGAGCTAGACCTAGCCGCCCAAGCGTAGAAAACCCCCAAAGCCGCCGTTCACCAAAAAAAAGGGGGAGGTATTTTTTGTTTAATTCTTTTCGAATTTTCTCCTCTGCTCATCCTCATGCCCCAAAAGACATAGTGCTCCAAAGCCGATCAAAAAATGGACGATATCAGCGAGCCAAGCATCACCGAGTTTTTGTTTCCCTCTTCCTACGCGTCCTGTCCTCCGCGGGAGTTGCTAAAGACCACTTCAGGTCCAACGTCTCCAGTCCGCAAGACACAGTATGTGTATGTGTCGATATTTCCTTTTCTCATTCGGTGCCGAAACAGCCCGAGTAGCCATAGTGTCTTCTTCGAACCCCCGGGTAATTAAACAGTGATGAGAAGCGTGTAAATGTGGCGGCTGACGAGGTGACGCTCGCCCAGCCTAGATGTGTTGTGTTGTTCCTCCACGATTGTTGAAGTGGGGGTATGCAGATGTAAAAAGAAACAATGGGGTATGTGCAAAAAGAGGTATACGCATGAATGGGAGAGAAACGAAGTGTGGGAGTGTGGTGTCAGGCCAGCCTTTTCCAACCTGTCATCGTTCCCACTCCGTCCATGATCTCCGTGCCATGGCAGCTGATCCTGAGATACCGAAGCCTGCAAGCGCGTGCCATGCTGCGTTGGTTCTTGCCATCCGGTTGCCAGGGTACACTCGACCAGAGATGGAGGGCGATGAACGTCCCAATGGCCAACCGGCCAAGCGTGATCCGTCGAGAGCCGACAGACAGATGTAGGGGTATCCTCCAATAGAGCCGTGATCGTAATGCAAAGTGGTGCCCAATGCCACATTGATTGCCCTTCGCGCGAGGGCGTGGTTTGTCGTTCCAATGCCAGGACGCCGAACCCAGAAAAATGTAGTGTCGCCGTGTCAATGGAGAGAGGTGAGATGAGATGTAGAGCACGCCGGCCCAATCACCATGATCATGACACGGAATGCTTGGCCCAGCCAACCCAGCCCACCGTTCCGAACCCAATCAAAAAAGGGAGACGCTTTCTCATCAGCCAAAAAAAAGGCCGATCGCACAGCGCATCTCCCAACCCCAACGCCGTGCTATGCAAAATGGTATTATACAGAACCCAGTCGTAGGAGAGCCTCCACCGCCTCACGCTCTTGCGCGTCAGACGTGGCCCCTAGCGCCGAGAAGTCGAAGGGCAAAGGTTGGTGCGAACGAGCCATGCCGGTTGCGACGGAACGCAGTCCTCCAGAAGTATATACACCGTTGGAGAGGAAGCTGCGTCCGGCCGAATGAGCGGCAGCGTTGTAGGACTCGGCGCGGAGAGCGGCAGCTCCCACAGCAGCCCAGTCCTCGTCATCGGTAGCGTCCTCGGGGTCATCGTTCATGATGTCATCGTCGTCCGGAGCCTCAGAGCACGATGCGGACGCTGAGCCATCCAGGGACATCTTGTCCGCTTCGCATTCCATCATCATGGCGTCGCGGTCGTCGTGGGAGAAGACGAACGACTCGTCGCCGTTGCTGGAAGAGGCAGCGTTCAGGCGGGACCTGTCGGTGCCGCGTCCGCCGTTCTTGCTAATAGGGATGCCGGAGCGGTAGTCTGCAGGAGGCGAGCTCCGCGAAGGCTGTCCGCGTCGTCGGGCGTCCCATCGCCCCCAGCCCACCTTCTCAAACTCCACGTCGCCGTCGACACCGCCACCTTCGCCTCCGCGGCCTTCCAACGCACCAACCACTAGACGACGAGCCTTCGTCGGGGGGATTCCTGCGAAACCCGGTACCGACGTTGTCAGGTAGCCCATGATGTGGCGGATGGCCAAGGGGCCGTGGTTGAGGAGGATCTCGGGGAGATGGTGCTTGGCCAACAGGGAGGTGCTGATGGTGCCTGTCGTGTCGTGGGAGGGCGAGCGCGAGGCTTGTCGCCGGGCCTGCTCGTCGTGCAGGTCAAGGTCGGAGTCAATAGGCTCGAGCTTGGCCTTCTGAAGCTGGGCCTTGAGGCCGTGAGGCGGCAGGGCGGGAGATATGGAGTTGGGAGGGGTGGGGAGGGCTTGAGATCGTGTCACAGTCGTCGCAGGGACACTCCGAGCCGCTACAACAGCTAAGTTGTCTCGGCTCATGTCGGAGGCCTGGTTGAAATCGCGAGCAGCAGCTGCCATGGTCGCCATGATGTCGTTTAGACGTGTCTGATGCTTCTAGACGTGTCTGGGACAAGTCAGTAACGAGGCAGATGACCAGTGTTGGTGTCTGAGGAGGGAGAGGCGGCAGGTGCACACGTAACACACAAAATATGGTGATATTTTGGCGGTGGTGTTGAGTCACCAGGGGGATGACGGGTGGTGGTAGGGTTATTGTTGACGTACTGCTAGAAGCGGAAGGGATGCGAAAGCAAGTGTGGAACTTTGCGGGTAGGCAAAGCGGTCGACGGTCCGGCTAGTGACTTTTGGCAGATCAAGGCTGGCAGAGCTGTTGCGATTATCTTGACTGTGACAAGAGAATCTCGTCAGTATGGTTGTGCGATTCTTCGTATTGTTGGATTTGTGTTGAAGAAGAAGGAAAAGGGAGGGAAGGGGAGCGCGAGGAAGGGCGACAACCAGGGCTAAAGTAAAGGGAACGGCGACGGATACGGCGTGGGATGGGCGATTGGGGGAGAACAACGA